GCTCTGCAGATGAAGATTTTTAAAGGTTTTTCTATTTTTAGCCCTAGAGACCCCTAAAAGGGGCCAATCAAATTAAGATGAGCAAACTTGATAAAAGACTACCAAAGAAGGCTACAGACAAAGTATGGTGATCATTCATCTATTAGTTCTGTAGAAGCAGATGTTTAAAGGTATTTCTATTTTTAGCTTTAGCGGCCCCTACAAGGGGCCAACCAAATTAATATGAGCAAACTTGATAAAAGACTACCCAAGAATGCTACTGACAAAGTTTGTTAATCATCCATCCATTAGTTCTGTAGAAAAAGATGTCTAAGGTTTTTCTATTTTTAGCCCTAGAGACCCCTAAAAGGGGCCAATCAAATAAATACGAGCAAACTTAATAAAAGTCTACCCAAGAATGGTACTGACAAAGTTTTGTGATCATCCATCTATTAGTTCTGTAGAAGAAGACATTTAAAGGTATTTCTATTTTAAGCTATAGCGGCCCTTAAAAGGGGCCAATCAAATTAATATGAGCAAACTTGATAAAAGACTACCCAAGAATGCTACAGACAAAGTTTGGTGATCATCCATCAATTGGTTCTGTAGAAGAAAATGTCTAAAGGTTTTCTATTTTAAGCCCTAGTGACCCCTAAAAGGGGCCAATCAAATTAATATGAGCAAACTTGATAAAAGACTACCTAAGGATGCTACAGACAAAGTTTGGTGATCATCCATCAATTAGTTCTGTAGAAGAAGACGTAAAAAGGTATTTCTATTTTTAGTTATAGCAGCCCCTACAAGGGGCCAATCAAATTAATATGAGCAAACTTGATAAAAGACTACCCAAGAATGCTACAGACAAAGTTTGGTGATCATCCACCAATTGGTTCTGTAGAAGAAGATGTCTAAAGGTTTTTCTATTTTTAGCCCTAGTGACCCCTAAAAGGGGCCAATCAAATTAATATGAGCAAACTTGATAAAAGACAACCTAAGGATGCTACAGACAAAGTTTGGTAATCATCCATCCATTAGTTCTGTAGTAGAAGATGTTTAAAGGTTTATCTATTTTTAGCTCTGCTGAACCCTAAAAGGGGCCAATTGAAATGACATGAGCAAATTTAAGTGTGACTATCACAAGGATGCTACAGACCAAATTTTAGTTAAATCTGCCGAGCAGTTTCAGAGAAGAAGATGATTGTTGACGCATGACGACGGACGACGGACGCTGGAGTATCCCCCTTTGTTACTAATAGCTCACCCTGAGCCTTCGGCTCTGGTGAGCTAAAAAAAGAAGACAATTTAAGTCCTTAATTGCAAATATAGAAACTTAGGAATGTAATGTTCAAAGACATTTTACACGTGAAAAGATTCACTCCGAGAGAGACATAGATCCGACATGAGAACACATTAGTCAAAATATGTCGTCCCTTCGTGTTTTCGCATTTTGAGGCGAAGACGCGAAAATATTTGGATGGCGTTAATCAGCCACCATACATAATCCATTCAAGGCGAATTTCTCAAGCATGTCGAAAGGATGTCCGGAAATGTGTTAATATAAAACGCTGATATTTCGTGTGTTGATAAAAATACTGTTTAGATTCTATATGGTTTTGAAAAAAAAACTGTTTCTATGTAACTTTTCACGGAAATGGGCTGTACAATGATTGCGTAAAAACAATAAAATGTCGGCTGTAGAAATCGAAAGGCATTTTGTCACGTGACTTTTGCCCATGCTACCGAAAACTACCCATCACAATATCACGGCGTTGAGACGCCGTGAAATAAAGAGTTCTTATTAAATAAAACCAACTTCGATAGCCTCAGCATTACGGTAAATTTCACGCAACCTACAGTGATGGCCCTTTCAGATGGTTCTTATCGCAATAAAAACACACTTCGATAGCTTCAGTGTTCACAGTAAAGCTCACACAACCAACGGTAATATGCCTTTTAGAGGGTTCTTATTGTAATAAAACCCTCGGTGATAGCCTCAGGCTATACAGTAAAGCTCACAAAACCCACGGTAATAGGCCTTTTAGAGGGTTCTTATTGTAATAAAACCCACGGTGATAGCTTCAGGAATTACAGTAAAGCTCACACTACCCACGGTAATAGGCCTTTCAGAGGGTTCTTATCTAAAAAAAATCGCTCACGGTGGAAGCCTCATGGAATACGGTAAATCTCACACAATCTACGGTGATCTGCCTTTTAAAGGGTTCTAATGGCAATAAAACCTACGTTTAAACCTCAGGGAATATAGTAAAGCTTCCACAACCAACAGCGATAGGCCTTTAAAACCCACGGTGTAAGCCTCAGGGAATACAGTAAAGCTCACACAACCCACGGAAAAGGCCTTCTAGAGGGTTGTTATTGCATTAAAACTCACGGTGATAGCCTCATTTAATACAGTTAAGCTTACACAACCCACGGAGATAGGCCTTGAAGGGGGTTCTTAACGAAAAAATTACCACGTTGATAGCCTCACGGAATACAGTAAAGCTCACACAACCCATGGTGATAGGCGTTCCACAAGGTTCTTATCACAAAATCCCCACGGTGATAGTCTCAGGGAATACAGTAAAGCTCACACAACGCACGGTGATAGGACTTTCAAAATATACTTTTCACAATAAACCCACGGTGTTAGTCCCAGAGAAAAGTAGAAAGCTCACACAACCCACGGTGATAGACCTTTCTGAGAGTTTTTTTTCGCTGTAAAACCCAACGGTGATAGCCTTAGGGAATATAGTGAAGATCACACAACCCACGACAATATGCCTTATTTAGCGCTCTTAAAGCATAAAACTCACGGTGATAGCCTAAGGGATTACAGTTTAGGTCACACTTTCTACGCTGTTAGACCTATTAGAGGGTTTTTATCGCAATGAAACCCATGGGGATACCCTGATTTGAAACTGTAAAGCTCACACAACCCATAGTGATAAGCTCTTTTTGGAGGGTTCTTAATGTAATAATGACCACCTTGATAGCCTCAGGGAATACAGTAAAGCTCACACAATCCATGGTGATAGGCCTTTTAGAGGGCTCTTAATGTAATTATGTCCACGTTGATAGCCTAAGGGAATACAGTAGCTCACACAATCCACGGTGATAGGCCTTTTAGAGGATTCTTAACGCAATGCCCACGTTGATAGTCTCAGGGAATACAGTAAAGCTCAAACAATCCACGGTGATAGGCCTTTTAGAGGGTTCGTAACGCAATGCCTACGTTGATAGCCTCAGGGAATACAGTAAAGCTCACACAACCCACGGTGATAGGCCTTTCAAAGGTTCTCATCACAATATCCCCACGGTGATAGCCTCAGGGAATAGTGGAAAGCACACACAACCCACGGTGATTGGCCTTTCAAAATGTTCTTATCACAATAAACCCACGGTGTATAGCCTCAGGGAATACAGTAAAGCTCACACAACCCACGGTGATAGGCCTTTTTAAATATACTTTTCACAATATTCCACGGTGTTAGTCTCAGGGAAAAGTAGAAAGCTCACACAGCCCACGGTGATAGACCTTTCTGTGAGTTCTTTTCGCTGTAAAACCCAACGGTGATAGCCTTAGGGAATATAGTGAAGATCACAAAACCCACGATTATATGCCTTTTTAGCGTTCTTATAGCATAAAACTCACGGTGATAGCAACAGGGATTACAGTTTAGGTCACACTATCCACGCCGGTAGACCTATTAGAGGGTTTCTATGGGGATACCCTGATTTGATACTGTAAAGCTCACACAACCCATGGTGATAAGCTTTTTGGAGGGTTAATTCTTAATGTAATAATGACCACGTTGATAGCCTCAGGGAATACAGTAAAGCTCACACAACCAATGGTGATAGGCCTTTTAGAGGGTTCTTAATGCAATAATGCTCGCGTTGATAGCCTCAGGGAATACAGTAAAGCTCATACAATCCACAGTGATAGCTAGGCCTTTAAGAGGGTTCGTTTTCGCAACAAAAAAAAAACACGGTAAAAGCCTATGGGAATATGTACAGTAAAACTCACACAACCAACGGTGGTACGCTTTTTAGAGAGTTCTTATTGTAATAAAACCCACGGTGATAGCCTAAGGGAATACATGTAGTAAAGCTCACAAAACCAACGGTAGGGTTCTTATTGCAACAAAATTAACGGTGATAGCCTCCGGGAATACAGTATTTAAAGCTCACACAATCCACGATGATATAGGCCTTTCAGAGGGTTCTTATTGCAATAAAATTCACGGTGGTAGTCTCGGCCGAAGCTTTTGACAGTAATAAAAATAATGGGAGTGAATTTCTAGAAATAATATATAAATTGAAATCTTAATAATTTAATAATTTTAAATCTGAAATCTAAAAAACAGCTGAGGCCATGATTAGACAACATTGATATGCCAACTGATATTGGTCTGCGTAGAATCAGTTGCGGCTAGCAGGCTCAGGGTTAAAAAAATGTATCGATTGGTTTTGAAAAAAATGGCCTCAAGACTCGCTTGTATATGCAAATGGAAACAAAAAGTCTGAATCAATAAACATGTTTATCTTTATGCAACACTGATTTAAATTATTATTCAAGTCTGTGAATACGTATGTAGTCTAAGCAAAGTTCCATGTATTTATGACTTCACTAAAAGATGTCTAAGTTAAAACAAGAGTGCAAAAATGTCACAAATAATGTCATAAAAACTAAAAAAAATACTTTGATTGTATTGTTGTAGCCTGGAACGCCGTATTATCGGCGTACTATGACCGCATTATTTTTTTGACTGAGACCTACATATTATACTGGTTACTGTAGAAATAAACTGAACGGAAAATATATAACAAGATGTTTTTATGTGTCACGCATACTTTTATCAAACAATTTTACGAATGAGTACTCATTTTAAAGTATTTTTGAGGGCAATTTGTATTAAAAGTAAGTTTTTGTTTTGTTTTTGAAAATCAGTAGCATAGTCTGACCTTAATCGCTCAAGTACTTTGATTAGTGTAGACTGGCTCGCTTGCTCTTTTACAAATGAGACTTATAATAATATTTGAGAACCAGTCTGTTTCAACAAAAAACAATGGAGGAGAAAGAATCGATTTTACAATTTGACTAAAATTTAGAATTTTGAAGCTTGCTGTGGCCATTTAAAGGTATTATTATTGTTTTATTTTGTAAAATATAAGCTATGTTAAAAACAAATTTCCATTTTTCCATTAATTAGTTGTGAAGAGCCGGTTGAATGAATTAAACGATTGTTTGTTTGTGTGTGAAAATCTACGATCCGAACTTCCGGTCTCTGCTAACGTATACAAACTTACGCGAAATACGTTTATTGTGTTTTGTTTAGGTCTAATTAACATTACATGTGTTTACAAATTATTATAATTATGTAGACTGTTAGATCCATGCAGTAAATTTTATCAAGAATAAGATATCTTTTTTTTCTATTTCTATTTCTACATCATACTGCTTTAAAATCGTTTTCGGTCACTCTAAGCAGGCATACATTGTATACATTTAAGAAACAGCTTTAAGATACAAGGGAATCCGGGAACCAGTCCCTAGCTCTTATTGAATAGACCCCTTGGTTCTTTTACATGCCCAGTGTATAGCACTGATACATGCGAGGATTACCTGGATTTCTTACCAGTACACCTCTAGGTAGGTGGGAAACACTGAAAGTGTCTCTGAAAAATCCCAAGGGTGTAACCCAGGATCGAACCCGGGACCTCAGGAGTGATAGTCAGTGGTTTATGAGAAAAACAAATATCTGAACAAATCATTATCCAGTTACATTTAACAAATTATTTACCAAGCTAGATTTTAGAAATAAGTTTAGTTTAGAATCTTCAAAATTATGATTTTCAACAAAATCACTCCGATTACTGCTAGAGTTAGGGGTTTGTGTTATCGGTTTATTCAGGGTCAGACAGTGCCGGCAAAATCTGATTTTGACTTACTTGTCAGATTTTAAGTGAAGCATTTTTTAACTTGTCCGTATGATATTTACATAGTTAATTCTTGAAAATTTTCACTTGTCCGTACAGGCTGTAGGACAACTTTGGCAATACGGACAATTGATTTTGCCGGCACTGGCTCACATCAACGTAATGAAACATTGAAAATGAAAAATATCAGAATAATGCAGGATTATTCATTAACATGAAATAGATTAGGTCTTATACATGTAATAAGAACTAGCTGTCAAGCAGTTAAGCAGTACTAGTGCCTTCACTTTTGCAACAAAGGGAAGAAGGTTCAAGATCTCTGTGTTCAAAGCAATTAATATAGTGGACAATTACTTGATTACAACTCAAAATGGAATTCATGATTCATGCATTGTTAATTAACTTAAGTAGTTACAACTTAATTTATTGAAAATATGACTATGAGCCGCGTCACGACAAAACCAACATGGTGCGTTTGCGACCAGCATGGATCAAGACCAGCAGGATCCATACTGTTGGCTATCAGTAACTTAGTTTCTCCACTTGTAATAGAGTTGGTAAGCGAACAGCATGGATCGATCAGACTGCGAGGATGTGCAGGCTGATCTGGATCCATACTGGTCGCAAACCCATTATGTTGGTTTTATCGTGACGCGGCTCAATTATATTCTTTTCCTAGAATGGATCGTGAGCTGATGACAGTGAGTGATGAGGGGGAGACTAGCTGGCAGGCTGACATCAGTGACGTCAAAGCGGAAGGTGTTACACCAGACGTACCAAAAGATGACATAATAACTGCAGAGGGTGCGACTGGGTACAGTTCCCTGATGGCGGACAGTTCGACTCCAGGCCAGACAGCCACAAGTCCTCAACTGTTAGAGGCATGTGCTGAGGTGGTTGTGCAACAGTCTCTAGGTGGTAAGTTTTTCTCTCAATCTGATTAAAATCAGTTCCTAAATAATGCTACAGTTGCCAATAGGTTGTCACCATCTTGTGTTTTTTCAAACAGCCAATTATTTCCAATGAATCCCCACAGAAAAACTGCTTACCATTATTAATAGTGTTAGATTGAGCTTTGAGATAGTAAAATGATACAATTGATAGTGTTTAAAAGTTTGACATCGAAAGAGTTCAGCATAAGTTTATAAGTTTGTAAGTTTAATAATTTCTTCATTACACATGAAATAAGGCTTTGTGGTTTATACACAGTGATTTATTTTCCCCATTTTTAAAAACAACCTGTGGCTTGCTGAAAGGGAAAATATAGTGCATGGGGAGAATCTGAAATCAAATTCTTGGAATTTACCCACACATTTGATAAATTTTCAATTCAATTTAATATGCATGATACATAGCAAAGGCTATATATAGGGACAGCTTTCGGATATAAATCAGATATTGATAAGTCATGGTTCTGGTGAAAAAGTGCACAGAGCATTTAAGGGGAAAATATAAGCATTTTTAGGGGAAAATATACTTATTTTGGACTAGGAGAAACAGCCTTTATTTGGCTGTAAAATGTAGGGGAAAAATCACTGATACACAAATTGAAGAAAATTATGAATAAACCAAAACAAAAAAAACCCAGATACATTGAATAATTCAGTGAGTTCAGATATATAATGAATGTGTTTATTTCTGTTATTGATAGGTATGGACACAATTACTGCACCTATTTGGGTACCTCCAGAATCACAGAATGTTGTTGCCATGGACACCAGCAACCAGTTAGATTCAGCAACAGGTCAGTAAACTTTCATAATTTAGATTAAATACTGATTCTAACACTGCTGAATTTGTGTAATAAACTGTAGAGAGCTCTGCTAACTGTAAAGAGTTTTGCCAATAGTTTGGGCTATGCCAACTGTATAGAGCTCTGCAAAATGTATAGAGCTCTGCCAACTGTTAAGAGCTGTACAAACAGTATAGAGCTTTGACAACTGTATAGAGCTCTGCCAATAATATAGAGAGAGCTCTGCCAAATGTATAGAGCTCTGACAATAAAATAAAGCTCTACCAACAGTATAGAGGTCTGCCAACTGTTTTAGAGTTGTACAAACTGTGTAGAGCTTATCAGTCATTTAGAGCTTAGCCTCTAGTATAGAGCTCAGCAAGCATTTTAAAGCTTATAAGTAATATAGAGCTTAGCCTCTAGTATAGAGCTCAGCAACCATTTTAAAGCTTATAAGTAATATAGAGCTTGGCTGACAGTTTAAAGCTTGGCCAGCATTAAAGAGCTCCATAAGTATTATAGAGCCTAGTCAACAGTATTGGGCTTTGCAGGACAGTAGAAAAGGTCAGAAAGTAATGTAGAGCTTTATCAGAAATATTGAGCTTAAGCAACAGTAAAGAACACTTCCACCAGTTGTATAGAATTTTGTCAGGCTTGGGATGTGCACACTTTCTATACTGTTTTTATTTCATAAAATCTGCAAACAAACAAATGGAGTTAAATCTGCCGTGTTCAATTAATCAAACAGACTCTAAACATGTCTGTGTATCGTAAAGCTGTTATTAGATGTTTTGACAAGTAATGTGTAAATGTGCAAAAAAAAACTTTGGAAAACCATTTCTAACTGTCTATGTTCAAGGAACAAAAGCTTGTAAGATATATTAAATTTCATAGAAGTTTAGATATTGAATAAGGAGACATTATCCACAAACAGGTTGATAGTCAATTGCAACAAGGTTTTATAAAAGTTTCAACAAAGTTTTGTTTAACTTTGGAAAGATACAAAGAAACTTTTCTTTTGGAAAGTTTTTATCTTAATTGTCAGTTATGCTAAAATTTCTGTCTGTTTATTTCCCAACTGCACGCCACAAATGTTATTTTGCAGTATGATATACTTGCAGGGTATGTTCCTCGTGTAGTTAACACTAGTCAGATTTCTCCCATCCCATCAACAGATGTTCCCAACAGCGTTGTTAACTACTGTGATAATCCCGTTCCTTCAGAGATGGCCGCCAACTTTAGGAACTATATGACTCACCTATCGCAGTTGTCACCTGATCATGATAACAGACACAGTACATTGTTTGATACGCGGGCAGGTGTGACTCGTTTACAACCGGGGAACGAGAATTGGCAAGATGGTATGGTAGAAATGTGCTCGTCAGAGAGCGATTCCGAAGATTGCAGTTTAAATTGTGATTTGCCGATAATACGAAAAGCTCATAGAAGTTCTGCGCATTCGGATAGGGGTAGATCAGATTTGAGAGTAGACAGTACACGGGTTTGTGATATTCACGATCGCGGACATTTACGTAGGAATCCTCATTTTCCATACGAGTCGCTTGGGACTCCCCGACTTGCTTGGGGTGAAACGCCTCGCGAGGCTTGGAGTGACAGGTCTGATGATCCAATGTTCGACTCGTTGAATCCGTATGCTTTATTTAATCTACCGAAATCAAACCAACGCGGGAAACGCAAACAAAAAGCACACACTTGCTCCTGCAGGAATCATTCAAATGGTGCCAGTAGAGAAATGGTGAGCCCAGATAGAGGTCGAGTCTCGCGTATTGTAGAAAATAGGAACAGAAGTCACATTCCTTCCCCTCAGAATGAACCATTCTTGCAGCAAAGACAGTCCAGTCCCCATGCACATGATAAGTTGAGTCGAGAACATCATTTTGAAATGGACAGGTATTCCAGGGGTACGAGGGATCAAAACCGGAGTCCGGATACTGTTCTAGATCCCAGACGTGAGATGCCGCCTAGAGATGCTTGTTTAGATTCGCATGGGTATATCAGGCACCATGCCGGCAGTCCTCTACCGTCAACTAGTTCGGGTATAGTCGCACACAACCAATACGGTAATAGAATTTTAGGTCATTCTAAGTCACTTCCAATCTTTTCTTCACAAGAGAGCATGGACACTAACAGCGAAACTGGTGAATCATCAGATACAGATATTGACGTGATGTCGGTAAATAATGCTAGCGGGGCTCTTGTTTCTAATCCGGCATCCCGTTCATTGGTTCTTCCAGAATATAGTCCACACGAGGAAGTTATTTGTAATCATAATGATCAGTCTCAAAGAACTCATTCACACGATAACCTTGGTATTGTACGTCCGAAAGCAATAAAATTAGAATCTGGTCAGAAATACCACACTTGTGACAATTCCCGTTGTGAACACTTTCCAGAACAAGGAGCTATAGACTCCAGTATGAAAGGTAAAACTTTGCAGAACCGGGCTTCCGGTCGTAAAGGTGACAATTTCGGCCAGTCCTTTCCACAGCCAACTAATACTTTCCCACCGAGTGCAGAAACACGTGTTTTACAAATGACACCTTCTCAGCAGATAATGAACAACAGTTCTGGCGATAATCGTCAGTCGAGTGTAATACGAGATAATACAACGAGAAATAGTGCTCAAATACACCCAGAACGGAGGAAATCGTTAAAGGATATTCATAATTCGGTTATTCGGGAACGACTATGGTCGGATCAGCAACAAGAGCCATCGGAGATGGTAGCTAGTAATGACAGAAGTATTGATTTGACAGTAATAGATCCTGAAGAATCTTCGGAGAGTTCTCGTCACTGTTCTTCTTCACCTGTTTTACCGGAAGTCCATTTGCCGTCTGCTTCCGATGATAGCGATATAGAGGTCGTTAAGATCGAAACCAACAGGTATGTATGACCACATTTTACGGTTGTAGATATTTTGAACAGTTCTAAATTCACATTAAGTCTTGTTTATAAATTCCCATTGTATGATTTTTTGGTGACCATTTTTGGTCATCACTGCTATGAAATAATTATGTCATTTATATAAAAACAGTTATGGACATGGACACCTGGGCTGCCTTTCATAGAAAGTCCTTAGTCTGAAATCAGTCTTAAGCCCAAAACTGAGAAAAAAATTTTGCGTTTAAAAAAAAAAGTTAAATTTTATGATTCTTTTAATTTCTGAATAGCCCAGATGCTCCTGGATATGGACGAACTTTCGTAATTTCTAGATATTTAAAAAACGGTCGAAATCTAAACTTTGAAAAGTGTATTTATTATTGATTGACTAAAGAATATTGACGATACTTTGAAATGATTTCTATCAATGAAAGCTCTACATGAATAACAATTGATATGGGTGTATATGGTCCCTGTTTTGATACATACATTGATGGGTTTGAAAGGTACATGTATATTTTGCCCATGGTATTTTTTGAAATTATGACATTTAACAATCTCAAGTAAAATCATCAATCTATCCTGTAGTCATTTTCAGTTAACAAATTTTGTATGTGACTTTTAGAAGTATGGGAGCAAAGAAAATTTTTGGATTTTTGATGGTACTGAAATAAAAAATTGCAAGATATATTATTTGATTTGACAAATTTAACATTTTTCTGGGATAAATTTCAATGTGTAGTTACACTGCTCATCTGTATCTCCATGAACTGTTAAAAGTGCACCACACAAATATTTTATGATATGATATTCATTTTAGGCAGCCCCGACGACGTCAAGACCTGTCTAGTCGAGCGACTGTAGTTGTTGATCTTACCGAATCTGATGACTGTGATGATCACCTTAATCGTAGAGTTCCGGTTGCACCAGTTACAGGAGTAACCGAGGCTCCGGTACAGTCTTCATTCGAACGTGAAATTGAAAGCAACACATTTGCTGCAGCAGAACCTGCCAAAGCTAAACAAGAAATTTCCCACCCGAAAGAAAAGTCAAAGTCTTGCCAGAACGAAAGGCCAGTACCACGTATGCCAAACACTCCTCCACCGGAAATCAGGTCCTGGGTTCCACCGACTTTATCAACAATGGCATCGAGTGTTGACCAACCACCGGCAACGGAGCCGGCAGTTCGGTCGTCTTGTCGGTCACATCTTCCAGTTCGACCGGAAGAGACTTGTCAAAGGGTAAATTTATACCACAGTAGATTGTACAGTGACTAAAACTGAGTTGACTATCTTTTTCTTTCAGTTAAGCTTTATTTCAATTTCAGTTTTTAAATAGAGGATATTTGTTTAGTTCAGTGTAAGATAGGAATATATTTCACCGAGTGAGCACCGAAAGGTATATTTCACATGTGGCACAGCCAGGAGTGAAATATGAAGTTTTGGTGTTCACAAGGTGAAATATTTTTCGGCCTTACACTGAACTTAACAAATTTTCTTTTTATTATATGCAAAGAAACGTTTAAAACAACATTTTAACCTAATACTAAATGAAAAGCGCGCCAAACGATATTACAATGTGACATCATTTACGACTTTACATTATTAAGTTGGTTTCTAGTACTGTGCATGCTGGTATTCCACTGAAACAACGTAAGGGGCTTAAATTCAAAACAGTGAAATTTATCAAATTGATAATTTCACTGTTCAAAACAGTGGTCTTTAGAAGCATCTTAGTCCCAGACACACATGTCTATGGTAGTTGTCAATAACTTAAAGTTACATATAGAAAGTTAGATATAGCTTTTACTTGACCCTAAGATAAGTAGCCGATGGTTGGTTCTCCTTACATTATCCTGTACTAGGAGCAAGTGGAACACGCTACTCTGTTAACAGCTCTTGCTATTGTGTACTATATAAATGAGCCGCATCACAACAAAAGCAACATAGTGCGTTTGCGACCAGCATGGATCTAGACCAGCCTGCGCATCCGCTTACCAACTCTATTACAAGTAGAGAAACTGATAGTAAACAGCATGGATTCTGATCAGACTGCACAGATGCGCAGGCTGGTCTGGATCCATGCTGATCGCAAACCCATTATGTTGGTTTTGTCGTGACACGGCTCAAATGTACTGTTACGATTACAGCATTCAGCAGCTGGTTTCCAACCAGTTTCCTGTGCAGAGAGAACAGAACGCTCGTCATGTAACCATAGCGCCCAAAACCTGCCCACATCTCATCCACACGGTCATATACCTGCAATGTCATCATCTCACGGACATCACTTACCAACAGGTAAATGGTATAAATAGGTATTTAAGGAGAGCGGTGGCCTAGTGGTTATGGTGTCTGCCTCTGATCCCAGGGATCATGGGTTCGAGCCCTAATCCGGTTATGACCATGTTTCTTCAGATGACACCAGTACTGGTTGGTTCCAGGAAACAGACTCGAAAGTGATAAATATAAGTTGCATGAACTTGGCAATGTAGCTTAAATACATGTGTTTAAACCAACAGGTTAACTTGTATTTTATAGTGAATATTAAAGCAACCTTCAGCTTTTATTTTCTGTTCAAAAAAACAATTCTCTGTTGTTTCAAACTAAGTATTTCATTAATTCTGTCTTGGAAAAGTGCATCATATCAATGTTAAGCCTTCTCCAGAGAGCTATATCAAGCCTTTGATGAATGAAATGTGTTCATAGAATAAGGATTGAATGAATTCGTAAATTCATACACTATTTTAAGAAAAAAGTGAAAAAGTGAAAAAAGTGCTAATGAAAATATTAGTTTTTGTAATTTCTTTCCGAAATATGAATAATATGTAATATACAAGAAAAAGAATCAATTTCAGGCTTTTGTAACAGATGGAATATCTAGCTCTCTGGTAACTGTTAAGCAGAAACTTGGTAGAGCCTTGTTGTCGCAATAAACAGTTACTAGAGAGCTTGATATTCCGATCTGTTTCGGCAGCCAGTGTAAGATCCTTATAAGATTTTAAAGTTCTTTTATGAACAATACCGTAGACAGAACTTGCCTTAATAATTCTTCATATGAACTTCTGTCTGAAATGACAGCATTTATTCCAGGACACCAAGGTCATTTAGTGCACGGAGTTCACAGAGGTCACAGTGCACATGGAGGTCATCATAGCAGTGGACATGGTCACCATGGCAACCATTCACATGGTCATGGACATAGCTCACAATCAGCATCTTGTAAGTTTGATTCTGTATCTATGTCTCCAGTTGTTGGATTGAAATCATTTAGTGGTAGTTTGGTTTGGCCGTTTGGTTTTTATGCCAATATTTAAAGATCCTGTAACACAATTTTTTCATGGTTTTATTTCATAAATATGATGCTCAAATTAAGATTTGTCAATATTGTAAGTTCCAATAAGCATTATTTATAAAGATATTACCCAATTTAACATTTCATGTAAGTAAAGGGAGGTAATTAGAAAAATATTTGCAGTACACATTTTACATATTCTTCGATGTTTGAAAATTGTTTTATTTGCATAATTATATACATATATAATTTTTTGCAACTGGGTAACACAGTAACAATATCAATCACAAAACATACAGGATCTTTAACATGTTTTTGGCGTATCTTTGCTTATCTGGATAACAAATCAGTAATTATCAACTTCTTCTCATGTGACCGACTGCTTATAGCACATTTATTGCTGGATCTATGGCAAGAAACAAGTGACCATAAGCCTCGATGTACAAGATCATTTGTCACAGGAGAAATTTCGCCTTGCCCAAGGATCAAACCAACAACCTGTAGATTACAAAACATATATTCTCCTGATTGAGCGAACCATCAAAATTAGTGAATTAATTCATGAAGTTTTAATAACATGTTTATGACTTTATGGTTATTGTTGCTTTTACACAGGGGTGGAACCCCATATGGATCTCAAAATTAAATTTAAAAGAAAGCTTTTGAGTTTTACTTAAATGTTTATAAAGTTAAAAACTTACCCTGTGATTGACCTATTTTCTCTTTCACATAATAACGGTGTTATAGTGCACATCTGGATCAGTGGAAATCCACATAGGTACTTTTTACTGATGCTCAATTTTGAGATCCATATTGGGTTCCACCCTGTGATTTAGAGAAATAAGGATGGATGGAATTATTGCTTATTGTATGGTATAATCTACTATTGAATTTTGATATTAAATACTGACACCCTATCATTAATTGTTGTTGCCCCTTGTAACTGAGGGGTTGCCTTTAATGGTTGAGGCAATGGAATTGTGAATTGCAACTTTGAACTGCAATCACAGTTTATCCCCTCATGACCTTAGGGATCTTAGGAGGTGACTAAGTGAGTTCGAATAACTGAGTCTATTTATCTCTTAGCTCCAGGAGGTGTGAGTTTGATTTGACTCCCTGGTGTGCTTTGAATTTATTTAACGCCGGGATAAGCCAAAATCATCTTTCTTGTTTTTGAGCAAAATGACCTAAATTGTGTTTGTGGGCTGTAAAACCAAACTTTAAAATTATAATTGTTTTTATTATGACAGGTTCTTGCAGTCGAGGATCACACCCACACAGCCATGTGCACCAGGGTCCGTCCTCACACCACCCGGCTCGAGCACATATTCACCATCACCACTACCATCCGGCGCCATTCCATATACCCCCGTCTCCATTCCCACCACTGAACACGCCACACCTTGTACGACCGACGATCCATCACCCCCAGATGCAGCCGCAGGACTCACAGAGGCTGTTTGATCTAATGAGGGCTCAGATGCAACACGCACAGCTTGTTCAAGGTCCCAATCTTCTACAGGTACGTGTCACATCTACGTCTATGTCTTTACTAAATCCTGAACCTCTTGAATAGACCAAAATATTGAGCTTGATAGTAACTTTTTTATGGCAGTAAGGAGGCTCTGCCAAGTTTTCGCTTAACAGTCACTCATAAGGGAGGACCTTATTTATAAAAATTTTGGAATAATGTCAATTTAGGGCATAAAACTTACCTTACATTAATTATCTTATATAAAAAGAGTGGGGGGGACAGATGTGAGAGAAATGTAAGCTGATCATTTTCCTGCACCTGTACAAACAGTAGAAAATTCAGTATGTTAGCACAAGAAATCATATATGTGTTCCCTAAAGAATTTTTTTTTCAGAGAGATTGGAAATTACACTTTTAAAGGAACTCAACATAGGTCAGAAAGCCTAATTTTTTGATATTCTTACATAGATAAAATGGAAAAAATCTGAAAAGGATTATTAACAAATATACTTGGAATTACATGAAATGTGCAATTCTTAGCCTGCCTGATTTGAGTGAAAAGCATTGTAAAGCTTTACATTTTTGAGTCATTTAGGACAATAAAAATGATTATTCTAGAAAATCAGGGTGAGGGAATGATCTGAAAATTTTCACACAAGTTATTGGTCCAAATGGTACACAAATATTGGGGAAAAACACAATTTTCAGTTCTGTCAAAAACCTAAATGGATTTCATTTAAAGCAGCAAACCTCCAGATCCATGTTGATTTTCATGAAAATTTTGGAAATGTATTTAATAGTAAAATATTGTGAGGTGAACAAATAAAGTAATTAACATATTGCAATCTGCACTTACAATCCATGAAAACTACCAAAAAAGTGTCAACTTATGCAAAAACAGCCCTTACTGTGTTAGTAAAGCAGTAGAAATATGCTAATAAAATACTGCAAAATCAATTGTAAACCGCATATAACATGTAAAATATAACTTGGATCTTTAATATTTGTACCTTTCTTAAAATATTAGTACATTTTTCTCTATATTGATTTTCTTGAAATATTTTGGCTCAATCTAGAGGCGTGCAGCTTTAATGAGACATGAACATATAATTGAGCCGCGTCATGACAAAACCACCATAGTGTGTTTGCGACCAGCATGGATCCAGACCAGCCTACGCATCCATGCAGTCTGATCAGGATCCATGCTGTTCGCTTACCAACTCTATTACAAGTAGAGAAACTGATAATGAACAGCATGGATCCTGATTAGACTGTGTGGATGCACAGGCTGGTCTGGATCCATGCTGGTCGCAAACACATAACATAGGTTTTGTCATAACGCGGCTCATATATTTCATCTATTTCAGATACCCCCACATAGTCTTGTCGAAGCCCAACCTACACTTCAACACCCACAGAATTCTTGTGCAATGGATGGTGGTCGGGTGCAAGGAAACCCTCCTACAGCTGCCAACACACACCCTGCTCAAAGGTAGATAGCATTATACAGTATAACTTTGTTCACTGGAATTTGAAGGGCCTGTGTAAATATTTTCAAGAGATTGGTTGTTGGAGCCAACCAAAGTTGAACTATTATCATGTATTTTATCATATTTTACAAAGGCCTGAAACTTTTCCAGCTTTTATGAGTCGTATATGATAAATACCTCAACATAATTGTTTGTTAGTACATCAGTTTGTTGAATATGTGTGATTTTCACTATAGTTCTGTGGAAAGGGACCAGAGATCAGGTTGAAATGTTTGAGCGATCGATATTTGAGTGATCGGAGGTAGAACAATATATATTACATATAGGAATTTTGCCAGGACTTTGTGATCAGTTCGAGCGAATGGAGGTATTCCAGTTATTTGAGTTCTAGCAAAAAAAGTTTAACTGTACATGTTTTTATATACAGTACAACCTTAACATAACAGCACCATGTGGGTGACAAAAAGTTTGGTTGTCGCAGAGAGGTGTTGCTCTGAAAAGGATAAATTTATTGTGAATTCTAACTTAAGCAAAATGAAGTTGATGTTTCACTTTTTATAACAGGAACAGGGTATAGCCTTATAACTTATATAGTTGTGTACGGGATATACAGGAACATATAGTCTTGCAACTTGTATAACTTATAGTATAATATGCTTCCAAATACAAGAAAAATCTTTCTTTTCTCCTCTAAAAACTTGAAATTGTCCTGCTTTCTGCATTTCACTGTCCTTTGTTTTCAGTTTGATGATTTTGATTTGTTAACAATTACCCACAATTTAACATTGTTGTTATATTTTTTAGTACCCCATAGATGCCTCCCAGGATTTATCATTGTTGTTATATATTTCAGTACTCCACAGGTGCCTCCAACAATTTATGATTGTTGTTATATATTTCAGTACTCCACAGGCCCCTCCCCAAATTTATTATTGTTGATATATTTTTACCCCACAGATGCCTCCCATGATTAGTTACAGCTGTTATATATTTCAGGACCCCACAGGCGCCTCCCACAATTATAATTTATGATTGTTGTTTAATATTTCAGTACCCCACAGCCACCTCTCCAAATTTGTTGTTGTTATACATTTCAGTACCCCACAGGCACCTCCCACGATTAATTGTTGATGTATATTTTATGACCCCACAGGTGCCCCAAACATTTTATCATTGCTTTATATTTCAGTACTCCACAGGCGCCTCTCACAATTTATTATTGTTGTTGTATATTTTAGTACTCCACAGGCACCTCCCTAAATTTAATATTGTATATATATATTTCAGTACCCCACAGGCGCCTCCCCAACACCAACATTTACACCACCACCTTCATCACTATCATCATGCAAGTGTTCCACGTCTCCACCACTTTGCAGTGCCTGGTATGCATTATGGTGTTCCAGTCATGGTGAGTGTTTTACAATATTTTCTTATTGAAATAATAGATTATAAGATTAGAAGACCAGTGCTCCATTTAAAAGTTTTTTGTGGACTTTTTTGTTTGGAAATTCATGTTTGGTTTTGCTGGGTTAAAGCAGCATGTATCCAGTTTCATGCTAATTTTCATTAAAAAGAATTAAAAAAATTAGAATATGTATTTAAATGTGAAATATTGTGAAGTTTACATGGAAAATAATTGACACAATGCAAACCAATGAACTGTAATTACCAAATAAAGGTCAAAATATGCAAAAAAGTAGAGCTCTACTGTGTTAGGCATGAAGTAGAAATATGGTGATAAATTCTGCATTTTCACATATAACATGTAAATTATTACTTGAATCGTTTTACTTGTCTTAAAATCTTTGTACATTTTTCATCTTGAGTCATGTAGCTTCAATTAAAAGTAGATTTATAAGCAAAGTATCAATGCACTTCATTTTTACTTATGTCAACATGTAATATCATGCGTTTGATCTTGTCATGTTTGCAGCGACCATTCCCAGACTTCCCTGCTCTGCCAGATTTCCCAGCATTCCCTCCCGCAGTTCCACCGTCATTTGGCAATGTGCCAAGAAATGTTCAGATGCGATTACAGCTTGGAAGAATGATGTTCAATCCACATAGACCTCCTACGTATGAGGTAAATGCTTCTTTTTAAATTATTACATACACCAGTGATTTGAGCCGTGTCATGACAAAACCAACATAATGGGTTTGCGACCAGCATGGATCCAGACCAGCCTGCGCATACGCGCAGTTTGATCAGGATCCATGCTGTTCGCTTACCAACCCTATTTTAAGTAGAGAAACTGATAGCGAAACAGCATGGATCCTGATCAGACTGCGCAGATGCACAGGCTGGTCTGGATCCATGCTGGTCGCAAACACATGTTGGTTTTGTCGTTGCGCGGCTCATTTTTTTTTCCAATTTTCAAAACAACCTGTCGCTTTTACGAAAGGGCAAATAAAGCATGATAAATGAGAAAAGGCGGAAACCTGAAATCAGATTCCAACAACTTAGAATGAAATTTTCTCACACAATTTATAAAATTTTCAATTTCAATTCAATTCAACATGCCTGGTGCACAGCAGAGGCTATCCACAAGGACAGCTTTCTGTCATTCAGTCAATTAAATTGATCATCTAGCTGATGTAAGTCAGCTGATGTTAAATCATGATTCTGCTGAAAAATGTGTGTCGCAGGCCATGCCAAAGGCATACAGCATTTCAGGGGAAAATCTAGCATATTGAGGCGAAATATACCTTTTTTGGGTTAGGGGAAGCAGCCTTTATCCGGCTGTAAAATATAAGAAAAAATATCAATGTACACTGATCCAAAAAGAGTCAAGATATGATTTATTTATTTATTTAAGGACATTTTCAGTAGTTTTCATATAGACATATAAGCAGAATTAAAACTGTTTAATAGAATTTTATTTAAATAAGTTGTTAGAAAAAATATTTTGAGTTATTGTGGCACCAGGGCCGAAAGGTTAATATGTCGGACTAGTATTCTAGGGATTGCTGACGGCCTGGCCCCGTGTTGACAAAGATTTAAGGATCAGGATTAAGATGAGGATCAAATTAAAAAACTCACATATTCTTTATTATTTATCCTCATAGATTAAATATCTAATTTTAATTTGATAAAACTGGACTTGCAATAGCAAGCCGTTGTTTCCATGAGCAAGAAATTTTACACTCATTGCATAGTACTGGTTGGTTCCAGGAACGAATTTTGAGAATGTTTCAATAAGCTTAAAGTTTCCAACACAATCAAATTAAAATAAATTTGTATAAACTTAATTTGATTACTAGTTTGATATGTTAACCACTAGGCCATGCAGCGTGTAATTGTGACTTGATTTATTGTAGGAGTTGTTACACCTAGAGGAGCGTCTAGGTAACGTGAATCGTGGTGCTAGTCAGGAAACTATAGAACAGTATACGTTACCACATAAATACAAAAAGGTACGTACAGACTATGTCGTATATACGTAAAATAACAAACAACACTACGTCCGGTTTTTTTAACTCGACCTTTTTTCAAACTATTTTTTTGTGACAAGACAGACCTTTTAAATTAATAAAAAAAAGTAAAACTTAATTCTTTTTTCTTTAATTTTCTTGTGAAAGATTTGTTTTAATTGTTTATTTGTTTGCATCTAGAAAAACGTTAAAAAAGTTGAGCGTTACCCACGTCAAGCCGTGGCTCTTGTTTTTTTATGTTGGTAATATAATGATGCCTCGATATTTTTGATAGGTTAAGAGAATAAACGACGAGGAAGATGACGATGAAGACAACCATCTAGAGAAATGTACGATATGTCTGAGTGAATTTGAGGACGGAGAAGACGTCAGGTACGTTACAACCTCGTTACTGACTTATTTATGGTTTGTTATTTGACTCCTGTATTTCGGCGATGTCTCATTTGAAGTGATCAGATCCCCCCACCACCACCGGAAATTTCTATAGATTTCCCTTAAAGCAGCACATCTCATGCTAATTTTCATGAAAATTTTGAAAATGAATTTGAATGTATAATATTGTGAAGCAACCATAAGGAAGCAATTTACACATTTTCAATGGTGCTTACAAACCATGTAAATTACCAAAAAGAGGTCAAAATGTGCATAAATAGCCCTTACAGTTAGTATGAAATGTAATTGAAAATACTGAAAAATCAGTTATTAATCGCACAAAACATGTAAAATATTACTTAAATCTTGAAACTTTTTACTTTTCCTAACATCTTAGTACATTTTTCTCAAATTTTGATTTTATTGAAATATTTTGACTCGTCTGGAGGCGTGTAGTTTTAAATAAGAAAAAAGTAAAAAGTAGTCAACTGCAAATTCTTAAAATTCCCTTTAATATACCAATGTTTCGGCTGAATGTAGATTTCCTTTGAAATGTAGTGGAAATGTTGGATGGATAAAAAAGTGGGGTAGTCCTTTTTGTGTCACCTCTATAGGGATCACTTCTTGGTCGCATGTCTGCCTGTCAGTCACAAAACAGAATGTCCAGAATACACCTCAAAAGCTACTGGTGTAATTTCATCCAAACTTTATAGGATTGATCAGTACCAAGTCTAGTTGTGCATATCGTCAGCATTTTCTGGTTCAATGATTTTTGAACAGCCCTTTCATGAATTTGATTTTTAAAGTTTTCAGGACTACTCCTCTTATACCACTAATGCAATTTAAATGAAACATTACAGGATTGACAGGTACTTGAAGTACTTGCGCATATTTAACAGGTTTTCAGTTGAATGAGTTTTGACTGAGTTATGGCCCTTGAATAAATAATGCGTTTTGCCATGGTAATGATTTTTGTGTCTCCTGCTTCACAGAAGCTGCAACATGCAATCCACTATCATGAGGCAACACATGTGATCACTGATCGCTCTTGGTGTCAGTGACCATTATAATATATTTGAATATATAGCTAATTCAGCTCATCTTGACAGCGAAAAAGTGAGTGCGCTGCTGCTTTGAGTATTTTCTGGGTTTATAAAGTAAGTATATGGTGTGTACATGTATATATTTTCAGGAGATTACCATGTATGCATCTATTCCACATTGTCTGCGTCGATCAATGGCTCGGAATGAATAAAAAATGTCCAATATGTCGTGTTGACATAGAGGCGGGGTCTAAAGATCAAGGGGTAGCGGCTTCCGGTGATTGCTGATTGGCCAGTATAGAAAATTGGGATGATGAGAGGCGGAGTATAAAGATCGAGGGGTGGCGACGACTGGTAAATTGCTAATTGGCCAGTATCAAAAGCTGACATGATGTTGCATGTAAAATATCACCATAGAATATAAAATCAACAGAAGGATGAGAAAGTTAGGAATGAAGGAAACAAAAAACATAGTTTGTTGAGATGTCAAAATAATTATGGTGTTATAATAATGAAGTGCAATCTTTAATATTAATTTTAAACATAATATATATATCTCGAGCAATTATATCTATATACTTAAATTTTTGAGAAATGTATTTATTTAAATTTGATTAAAAAAAAGATCCCTGACTTAATAACATTTCGCAATATTTAAATCGGAAAAGATAAACACCAAAAAAGAATGGATTTAATTCTTTGTTTGTGTAAAGTATTTAAACCTATTGTTTAGCTTGTTACCACGGTAACAGATATAATTTTCTGTAGTTATTATACTATGAACCCCCATATATATAAATATATCAAAAATAGCTTTTTTCAGGTAATTTTCTTCTAAAGGTTGTATTAGAAATACATATTTTTTCAAGGGATGTTGTCAATTCTTTACTCTTCAGTTTATGCTTTATATATATATATGTATATGGAACATTAAATGTTGTTTTGAATGTGCTTTTACGTAAATATCAAACGATGAAACAAACAGTTAAATATCATTCTGTATGCATTTAACCTGTCAATAAACAAACGCACCTTAAATTATATGTTTACAGGCATGAAAAGTATGACCAGAGTAGTGTACCAATTTTCATTCCAAAATTTTATCTTTTTCGCTCTTATCAATATAATGATATATATTTTTTTTGTGATTTTGTTACTGAAAATAATCTAAACAAAGTCCGGAGGTCTGTAGTTTTAAACCCTAAGCCGGCTTGTGGCAAGTGAAAATACCCATGTGATAAGCGTAGATTAACATCGGCCAGCGTATTGGTCTCGTCTGATCATCGTCTGCGCTGCTCCCTTATTCAGTCAGTACATATTTTGAAATTTTCCCCCTAAAAATGATGAGTGATTTAGTCCAGATTTGAATGATGGACAAGTCCATTTTATATATTTAGTGTGGTTAGGATAAATAATGTGAACCGTACACCTTGCAGTTTATTTATATAATACAGGGTAATTTACATATTGTATACATTTGTATTGACCTATTTTCTTTTTATTATTACACACTGTCAACATATTAACAATAATATCATTAATAACAGTCAATAAGGATAAACATTGATAGGGAAAAAGTCTATTTTTTAAGAGCTCTCAAAATTTTTAACTTTTTTCCGAATTAGGGTTACGAAATATTTTACATCTGGTAGTCTACAGCGTTCACTATAAACATTGGTTCACCTAATCTAACAGAAGTTTTAATGGTTTCACACATTATTTCAGGTCAAGTGAGGTCATAGTGAGTTAGATTGCTTGAAAAATAAATATGCTTTTTCAATTTTTAAAAAATTATTCAACAAGATTTTTTCATGTTGTTATTTTTTTTTTCATGTATAAGTTTTAAATAAGTATAGAAAGAATTGTAAATATGTTTATACATAATTGTTGTTGTTGCTGGTATTATTATTATTGTTGTTGTTGATGAACTTCACATTGTCTTTTACACAAAATCTAACCAATTGTATTTTCAATATTCTACATATATAAAGCTTACGATTAAAGTCGTTGCCAAAATTTCAAGATAGTATGAAACTTTGATTCAACAGCATTCTGTGGAAATATTAACTGCTAAGTTATTCACCAATTTTTCATTAACCTAAACTGACAAGACTTTTAAATCAAAGATAGTCAGATATTTTGGTGTGTGTAATGTTTTTTTTCTACATCACCTGATTAAAATTTAGATGAAACTTCCATTTTTTGAATCCCTCAACAAATTGGAAACAGAAGTTAAAACAATATTTGTTGTTGTTTATTTTCCAGGTCTAGGAATAATATTTCTTAGAATTATGTAATATTTCAATTATTCTCTGAAAAATGTACAAATTGCTTGTTAAAGTGTACCGCTGATAAGTGGGTTCGAGCCCTATAGGAGGCCTGATTTAGGACCGTGTTTCCTGATTTTACACCAGTATCTGTTCGTTCTATAAACCAGACTCTGTAGTGATTTCTTGTTCCAATGAGCTTCAGGTTTTTTTTTCATCGTAGTTTAGCAAAAATAAACATGTTGAAACTTATCAAGATTTTATTTGTATACGTTTATTAACCTACCTATTGCTTGAAATAAAATAAATAAGTTTTTATTTTACATACACATAAGATATAATGCATATTGATGTTTTGTTTTCTTCAATTTTAAGCTCGACTATTTGAACGCCCTGCGATCACCTCACATTTTAGTTATGTTTTTCGCATGCAATTCAGTATCTCCAAAATTACTGAAGGGAATGGGTTGAAACTTCACACACTTAATTGAGAGCATAATAGGAGGTCACTTTTTAAGGCACATAACTCTTAACTTAAATTTTGACTGACTTATGGCCCTTTTTGGAACTTAGAAAATTCTACATTGCTCTTGTTTTACTATCAAGCACTGAGAATAGTTGAGCACACTATCCTGCCCACAGCTTTTGTTGTTAAAGTATAACTATAGATATGAAATAATTGATGTAAATATAAGCATATATATTATATATCAGGTATCTGATCTCATGCAATGTTGTGTCTGATATATATCAGAAGTACTTGTTTAGGTATAATATTTATTTGTATGATAATATTTTCATTCCTGACCTTTCCTAACACAAATAATTATCTCATTTTTTCTCTTTATTTCTTTTCTTTTTCTTATTGATTTTTTGTTGGTTTTCTTCTAAAAATGTTTTACAACAGTTCAGTAGTAGTTTAAGTTAATATATCAGTTCAGAAGCATTGTATGCTATAGTCAATGGATTAGCTAAACAAAGAAGAAGAATACTTTATTTCTAATTTAGTAGGCTATAGGCCGATGTGAAAGTTTAGTTTCTACTTTCAATCTAAAATACAATCGTATACTTGTCTAGTAGGTGCATAGCACGTGAACTACATCACTTGCTGGTAGATAGATCTACTTGCTGGTAGATAGATCCACTTGCTGGTAGATAGATCTACTTGATGGTATAGATAGATCTACTTGCTGGTAGATAGATCTACTTGCTGGTAGATAGATTTACTTGCTTGTAGATAGACCTAAGTCCATCACACCAATCATTATAGAAAGAGAGTTATGTAAAAAAATTATATATATATTTTCCTTTTTTTGTTTCTTTTTTTTTTTGCTATGCGTTAAACTAATATTTTCCTCTTACATATTACTATTTAACAATATTTCTTTATATTGAATAATCATTGTTAGGTGTTAGGGATTTTACTGAACTTTTTGCAGTATGTTAAGCTTTGGGTTTCACTCATACGTTTGTTTAATTAATAAAGATTATTTAGATTTATTGTTTGACTAATATGTAGGTTTGATCTTTTACAGTAGATTTTTTTACGTGTTTAGTTTTATTTGATAAGTTTAATTAACAGTGTAAATAAACTGTCAGGAGTTACTCTATTAATTGGTCAATTTTTCACAAGTTGATTATGTCATGGGTTTGGTGCAAAACAGGTGTAACTCATATTACATAATGAAGGAGTTATGTCCGTTTCGCACTGATCCATCAATATATTGATACATATTTGATAGTAATAAATCTTCTCTAGGTGTTTTTAAATACAGGTAGTTTTCTTTGACTGTTGTGAATAACTCAAAGAATTGTAAAAATTTGTGTATTTTCTGTAATCAGTATTTATACAGTAGAGAAAATAATTCAGAAAAAGACTGTTTAGAATATTAACATTTTAGTTTTTTACAAATTTGTTTTAGTTCAATTGTGTTGGAAGCTGTAAGCTTATTGAAACACTCTCATATCCGTTCCTGGAACCAACCAGTACTAATGTAAAGTTTCTTTCTGAAGGAGACAACAGTTTGCCCCTGACAGGGTTTGAACCCTTGCGGTCAGCAATCCTTTGATTACTAGTCCGGCGCATTAACCACTCAGCCACGCTGCCACTCATTTATATACACTAATTTACATTTTGGAAAGAAGAAAAAACATTTTTATTAATGTTAACATTTAAGAAATGGACAATTAATTCTTGTTGAAACTTTTCTGTTTTCTGTGCCACATGTTTAAAATAAGCAATAAACTAGTTTTGAGGCTAAAAAAGAATGAATTTTGCTGCAGAATGTCAATGAACTATTCACTACTAGTGTATGTTATATTAATGCAGAATGTCAATGAACTATTCACTACTAGTGTATGTTATATTTCTATTAATGCAGAATTTCAATGAACTGTTCACTACTAGAGTTTGTTATATATCTATTAATGCAGAATGTCAATGAACTATTCACTACTAGTGTATGTTAAAATATTTCTATTAATGCAGAATGTCAATGAACTATTCACTACTAGTGCATGTTATATTAATGCAGAATGTCAATGAACTATTCACTACTAGTGTATGTTAAAATATTTCTATTAATGCAGAATGTCAATGAACTATTCACTACTATTACATGTTGTATTTCTATTGGATTTAGCTCAATACAGGATTTGAGCAGTACCTCTAGACGCTTGCAGAAATCATGATCACAAAATAGACAAATATCGTTTTTTTCGCCGAATTTTACATTTTTCCTTGATTATCGTACTTGATTCGGTGTGAAAAGATGAATTAGACCTGTTAAAGTTCATTCCGTTGGGTAAAAAGACAAGATTTTAGCATTTTATCATTCAAGCGCCTTGTCCGGTATATACCGGAATACGATATTTAGTGTGGTGCTCCAATCCTTTTTTTAGTCACAGCCATTTCTATTAATGCATAATGTCAATGAACTATTCACTACTAGTGTATGTTATATTTCTATTAATTCAAAATGTCAATGAACTATTCACTACTAGTGTATGTTAAAATATTTCTATTAATGCAGAATGTCAATAAACTATTCACTACTAGTGTATGTTATATTAATTCAGAATGTCAATGAACTGTTCACTACTAGTGTATGCTATATTTCTATTAATGCAGAATGTCAATGAATTATTCACTACTATTACATGTTGTATTTCTATTGTACCTATTTAGATTTGGTGTTTTGAAGCTTCTTTGTTGCAATAACGTGTAATTGTATATATATTTACACAATTTATGTAGATTAGTTATATATTTATGTGTTTTAACATATAAGTTTTTTTTTAATCATGATAATAATTATTAGTACCCAATTGTAGATTTATAATTTAAAAGGGTTTTATTTTCGTACATAATAATCGTGTAAAATAATTATTTTTTTGTCATTCTAACAATATCCTAAATGTTGTTTATCGTGAATTTTGTCCTAGTGAGAATTAATTGTATGCATTTATAGCTCGTCTGTTTCAAAGAAAATGTCGAGCTATTATTGATCCCTGCGTCATAGTTGTCGTCGTATAAAACCATATAATGTAGCCTTTTATTCAAACATTTTACAAAATACCAACATGAAACTTGGAATACTTGCTTATCCATACAAGGTGAAGGTTTTAGACAAGGGGCATAATTCTGAAAGCTATATTTTTAGAGTAATGCCCTTATTTTAAGTTAGATTTTTTGTCATTGGTTGTCAACAGAGGAGTGTTATCACTGTATGCGCTGCTCTAGTTTTTCAACTAAATTGCCTGAAAGGTTGAATGTATTGAAAATATACGTAGAATCACCAAATGTTTACAATGAAAATTAAGATAACCATGATTTAGGTGACGTTGTAATAAATCAGATTCAATGCCTTTTTCATCTGAATAAAGGTTATCTACTCTACAACTTTCGCTTGGAGTTTCACTATGTAATTCCACTTTATTAGAATATTAGTATTAACAAGATGAACAGTGACTACGGCATGAAATACCCTTCAAGTAGTTTTCCTATTAATTCAATATTTTAATATTAACTTTTTAAACAATTAATTCACATTTACTATTGAAGTAGAAGATGTTGTTGTTGTTTTTCTTCTCTTTTTTTCTGATATATTTATTTTTATCTTTTGTTTTCTATAATGTAATATGAAGCCTTCTGATTGGATGATAATTGTTTAGTATCATTTGAAAAAATGTAACACATCTCCTGATTGGATGATAGTTGTTAAGTGTCATTTGATAAAATGTAACACATCTTTTGATTAGTTAAGTTACTTTATTTCAAAAGCTATACATATTTAATTTT